ACTCTCAATAACTTCTTCAAATGCGACTTCTTTTTACAGAGTATCTCCTAGTCTATCATCATAAAGTGCCTAGCTTTAACGTTAACTATAATTTTATGTATTTAAAATGAAATTGATATAAAATTACATACTAAATAAGTTTCTCGCACTCTGGAGAGTCCAACTACTATTACAGAGTATCTGCTAGTCGATCTACTACAGCTAAGACTCCACAGCTTACAAATTTGACTTGTTTGCCACTAGCTTATGTTAATTGTTCGGCAGACACACACAATGACAGCTCTGCACTTCCGCACTTTATGGCCCCCATCATTGAATAACCTGTGCATGTCTGGAGGACGCACACACACGAGCGAGCTAAGCGCTCGGGGAAACTCTCGATGGGAATGTGCCACAATTTGCAGCCAAGATTTGACGCCTGATCAATAATATTGACAGAGCTGCCGAACAGAGGCAGAGGGTGTAAATAAAATTTGCATGCAGCTCAGCAGGTAGAATGATGGCGAAATTGAAGCAATACAAGCTGCAGCCAGAGATGATATAGTCATGGATATATACATCAAAGACTAAACGCACACACATATGCATATATAAAGAAGTGTGTGTGTGTGTGTGTGTGTGTGTTTGGCTGCTGGGTTGACTGGCTGCAGTGTTTGGCAAATTTTGGGTAAAATATATTCGAGCGCACGTAGGAAATTACAAGCGGATGTAAATACATCAATTCCAAATGAAGAGCATGTGCACTCAATTCCACAAAACGGGCGTAATGGTGGGCGTGGCATAGTCAAAGGCGCTGACTGCGTGACAAACAGTCAACCAAATCAAATAGTTCAATAAGCCCAAACAATTTAATATGCGTGGACAGCGTGCGCAATGCAAGCCAACAGCAACTTTGACATGCAATTCAGATCAACTGCACGTGTGTGTAACTGTGCATATGTGTGTGTGTGTGTGTGTGTATGTGTGTGTGTGTCCAGCATCGATTGCAATTAATTGTAAATGTCTGGCAGAGAAAATTAACACATTGGATGCTCGTAAAATAAATTGAAGCCAATCGACACTGAGCCGCCGGGCAACTTGGCAACGAATTTGCATGCCAAGTACTCATGCCATCTCTCTCTCTCTCTCTCTTTCTGCACCTCTCTCCCTCTCTCTCTCTCTGTGCAAGTTGTCAGAATCGCTTTGGTTGCCATTTGAAATGTTTTGTTGCTAGAATTATGAATGTTTTGAGATAGAATGTTGCCAAGGCGTCAAGTCATCTGGCATTTTGAATACTAACTGACTGAGAGTGTGTAGTATGTAAGCTAAAAGGAATTAACTTAGGTAACTCGTCTATACAAAAATAAAAGCACTCAGACTTAAACACACACAAATTAACAGCGTATCGCTTCATAATATGAAATTGGTCATTGAACAAATTTTTAAACACTTTTATGACAATCAAATCGAAATGTACACACAGATTCTGCTTGCTATGCTGATCGTGAATATATATACTTTATGGGCTCTCCCACGCCTCCTTCTGCCTTTTACATATATTTTAACATTATATGCTAATATCGCATTTATAATGAGATCAGTGTATAGCAACATATTTGTTTCACATACATATATGAAGTATATATGTATAGCATATATATAATCCCGATCACGATGACAAGTTGTGTGTATATAGCAAGCTCTGTCTCTGCGCCTTTTCTTCAGCTTATAACATAATTCAAAATAAGTGTAAATTCTCACTCAAAAGGTGCTCAGCAGCTCTGCTGGCGTTGACTTTTGAGTGACTTTTGGGTATAAAAGGGCGCAGCAGCTGCGTGGGCGATCAGTCAAGGGCCAGACCTGGACTGGGTCAGTCGCTGTGCAGTGCAAGTGGTAAATAAATTTAAGTTTTTTTTTTGTTAAATTGTTTCAGTTTAATAATTTGTATTAGTTTAAATAAATATATTTAAGACTTTTTTGTTAATAAATAATTAAATATATATTTAAGTTTTTCTTGTTATTGAACATTGTCTAATTGTTTAAAATACATTTAATTGTTTAAATGTTAAAAATATATAATGTGTAGTATTTTAACTAGTTTTAATTATTATTAAACACAAATTGTTATTATAATAATGAAGTTCGTCATAATGATCATTAACGAAAATGATCATTAAGAATAATGCTCATTTATGTACATGATAATTACTGGTAATTATCATTAACGATAATGATCATTAGCAATATGATTAAGTTTGTTCTCTTTAAAATTTTGCCTTGTTCTCTTTGAAATTTGTAATTACTAAACTTAAATAATATTTAAGAGCATCTTATTTTATTTAACTCTCTTTTGTGATATGGTTAGATTATTGCAAAGTGTGTGAAGTATTTGTCATATGCAATCTAATCTCTTAATTTTCACTTTATAAAATTTCGTTAGTATTGCCTCGCTATATATTCAACAACCTTCTCATTTCAGTAATATCATAATTTACACACAGCATGGACTCTGTCAGGCTATCTTCTGTCCGTTACATGCATTCATGGGATGTGGCACGCCTCCTTTTGTCAGCTACACACATTTAGACAAAAAACAAATTTGAATTACAGTTTTCAATGGGTACAGGGCATAAAAAAGCTAAAATAATATAAACTTAATAACTTATATGCAAATATGATGCAATTTGATATATTTAAATAAAAAAACATATCTGATTACAATATATATTTAGTAAAAAGTCCACAACAGAATTTGTCGTAAAAAATGGCTTTGAAAAAGTTCCAATAAAGTAAAGCAAATTGTAATGTGATTATTGTTCAAAGGAACTTATTTTACACAAAGAACTCATAAAAAATAATTAAAAAATAAAATATGAATAAACAAATTTTAGATAACTTTAATTAATAATAAAATATTGTGCACAAAATGAAATTCAAATTAACTGCAATCTGTGCGCTGAACAGCTGCAATGACCAGTTGCCTCTGTTTATTAAATATTTGCTAAGCATTTTCTACATTTCATACTAAGTATTTAGGTGCAAAATTATGTGCAGTGGACTTAATGCGTACGCAGCAAACACACACACATTCGCAAGTCATATAAAATAATGGTGAAAAAATATCAATTAAATGCAAGAAAAATAACGCGTAGCATTTTAATTACGACGGCAAATTAATTACGGAAATTGTTGTGGATCGAGAGCGAGAGAGAGGGAGAGGGAAGCAGGATGCGCGTGGTAATCACATGCTTAAGTGTGAGCGTGAAGCTCGCCAAAAAAGTTGAGAGAGGAGTTGACTTATTTGCACTTATTTATTCATTTAGATGGCAATTAAAGCGTACGAAAATTAAACAGAAAACCATTTGGCTGCATTTCAAGCAGAATAAAATAACACAAACTTTAATTTGTATGAGCGTCTGCCGGCGCAATTTTTATTTATTATTTTGCTTTAGTTTTTCCATTTCTTTTTTTTTTGTGTTTTAGTTTGAGCAGAGCTTTTAAATCAAACTGGCAGCCAGGCGACTGGCTATGCAGCAGCCATAAGTGCATAGCAGAGCGGAAACGCAGGTTCCCGCTAAACGGGTGGCAGGGAGTGAGGGGAAGCTGACTGTGGGCTGACTTGGGTCGGCTGGTCCATTCCATTGCCAGCTAAATAAATAAAAAGTGAATTTTTAATTAAAAGTTAAGTGGCAACTCATTTAAATTAATGTTGACTCAAGCGTCATAGCAAAACATTTGGCGAGCGAAGCCGAACAGAGAGCGCAAAAAAAAGAGGAAGAAAAGTGCACTGAATCTCGTGGAATGAGGGGGCAGGGGGGGGTGTGGGGTGGGGTGCAGCGAGTGGGTAACAACCCTAAATAAGCATAATGCACTGCAGCAGGACCTTGACTAGAAGACTGGAAGCTGCGTAATGGAGCCATACATAGATGCTGCACTAAATTGCTCGTCACGTAATTAGAGCGCCATCTAGTGTTTGGAAGGCGAAGAATATGATGCCGGAGTATGAACGCGCACTTGAACGGAGCAGTCCAACCTAATCCGACCGTAATGAGAGTCCACGAAATGAAGAGTAAAGTGTCGAGTGAAGACTTAACTAGTGAAAGAAAGATGCAGAGGAAGGCAGAACACAAGAGCGGAAGAAACTGATAGCAATTGGTGAAGGATCAGCAGAGTGAGTGATGGAATCTAGGAAGAGAGTAAAAAATGGGGGCAATGAGCAAAGCAATGACAAATGTGGGTAAATGTATCATTGAATGAGAAGATCAGGTGAATAGAATAAGCTTAAGCGACAAGTGAAACAATTGTAAGAGACAAGTAAACTCAATACAATGAAACTAGAAAATGAATGTAATACTAAGCCAATTACTAAAAAGTAACGGGCAAAATACATTGAAGGAAAGTAAGAGAAATATTAAGGGAAATGCAAGAGGATGCAATGTCTACTGCTCAAGCGACGAGTAGCGTATGAGCGAGGGTTAAAGCTAGTAGTTGGAACATAAGTATAATTCTACTAGCAAATGGGCCAATGGAGTTTCTTCTCCAACTTGAGATGCCTTCTTTATGGAGGGCACAAAAGTAAAACACAATTTGTAACCTTTGGTTACAGTTTCTACTGCTTAAGCTGGCACAAGTGGAGAGCATAATGAGAGTGCACAAATATGCTTAGAAATTTATAATGCAATCAAATGCCTTAACTAGTTATCAGAATGTAAATGGAACAAGTAGAGGTAAGAGAAAGATACAAAGAAAGTTATGAAAACTGCAAGAGCAAAGAGTGAAAGGAAAAGGAAAGAAAGAAAAGAGTTTCATAAGAGAAACGAGTTATGAAGTACACTTCACGATTAACAAATTCAACGAGTTAAACATATCGAATGAAGAGAGCATGTGCAAGACGTAAGGAGTTAATTTTATTATATACTCAAATAGCAAACCAAAAGAACCATAGTAAATAGAAACGTCTCTTGCTTAAGCAAATAAACGTTGAATCATCTAATAAATAGGGTACTCAAGTGACACGAGCAGTAAGCCAACACAGTAGTCTCTAGAATTTGTGTAAATTCCTAAGTTAGATAAACAATAGGAATTGATTAGTTAATATCGTAGGCAACTAAACAAAATTATATTAATGGAAGACACGAGCGAATCGAGTTGCTCGGCACTCCACACAGAAACAACAACAGAGACGGACAGTGATGCACAGAAGCAGCAGCAGCAGCAACAACAGCAGGCGGCCCGGGCAAATGCATTGAAGGGCGACCACGGCGAGGGGGAGGAGGAGGACGAGGAGGAGCCCGAGGAGAAGCCCATGTGCAGTGCCGACTGCCAGAAGACAAAGAAACGATTTACTGTCAAGAAATGGAATGCGGTTGCTATGTGGGCATGGGGTAAGCCATAAGTAGCTCGAAGATGATTATTAAACAATATCCGGCTGCCCGTTGCCTGCTCCCAGATATTGCCGTGGACACTTGCGCCATTTGCCGCAATTCGATAATGGATCTGTGCATCGAATGCCAAGCGGATCCCAATCAGAATTCCTTCGAGGAATGCACCGTGGCCTGGGGTGTTTGCAACCATGCCTACCACTTTCATTGCATATCGCGTTGGCTCAAATCGCGCTCCGTCTGCCCGCTGGACAATCGCGAGTGGGAGTTCCAGAAGCTGGGCCGCTAGCTGCAAGACGAACTTGTAATACGAAATCGTTGAACGCTGACTCAACGTCTTGAACTTTATCATTATTTTGTGTGTTAATTATGCATCCTTTCGACAACTGGCGCAGGAGGCGTGGCTGCGGCCAATTATCATTTTTGTGTGCGTTGGCAACTTTTGCCGGCACTTAATAAACGAGGCCAGAAGCCGGTTCCGTCTGCTGTGCAACTCAAAACTTTATCCGCAGATTCTTGGACGAGGTGGATTATCAATTTTGCAGCTCGCTTTTTGCAAATTGCCAACCTTTGAACTTTCCGCAGTAAGTTCTAGGCCGCTCTTGCACTTAGCGACGTGAATTCTTCGAACAGGGCTGCGAAACTAGCCTTTTTTAGAGATAGATTTAAATGGCAAAGTAGGGCGTGCGAAAGCATTTATTTAGAATTTTAGCTCGAAGTTGGCGAGGTCAATAACAAAAAATATATATATTCGTATTAGTTTGTTTGTCCGATAGCTTGTACGTCTGACCGTTCGGTCGTCTGTGTGACAATTGTTCCAGCCTTCCATCTGGCCATCCCTTTGACGATCATCCGTTTAACCACTGTCTGACTAATCATCCGTCCGACCCTCTCAGTTTTTGATCTTCCGTCCGGTTACCCTTTCGTCCGACTCTCTGACTATCTGTCTGACCATCTTTCTAGGCATCTTTCCGTCTAACCGTTGCCTATCTGTCCGACCATCTTTTTCTATATGAACGCATTCATCTGAAGTTTCTCCTAAAATACATGTTGACCAATTTTATTTAAAATTATCAGTAACTGATTTCGATCTGCATAAAGTCGATTAAAATTTAATCAAATTTACTCTCAACTGAAATATTTCAGCATGAAGCTGAGTTCCATATGAATCAGGCAAGAAAACTCATTCAGTTTCATTTAATATTTGTTTAATAAAGAAAAACTTTTAAATCTCGTTTTTTTTTGTTCAATTTTAGCTGTTGAGATTCACTCTATGGGTTAGTTAGCCGACAGCACTGTGCGAGAGTTTTCGATTAATAAGGAGCCCATTGATTTTAGGCAGTGCCTCGATTTTCGTCTCAGCTGTCAATTAGCTGTGCGTTGTAAACACGGTGCATAATTAAATAGAATTACAGTTTAATTGTTGGCCAAGATATATCAACACACGCGCCCGCATCTTGATTGTTTGCCTGTCGTCTGCTCACCCACACACACACACACCCACACACACAGACAGCCAGGCGGAAGCACAACAAATTGGCAGCTTTCCATTCAACTTGTCCAAAACTTGTCTATTTACCGTAGCTCCTGCCCTTGGCCACGCCTCCCTCGTTGCTTCTTTTAATTTTTTGCACGAAAATTAAGTTTGTTTTCCATTAAGTTAAATAATTACAAAATTATCCACCACTCAAAGGCTTTGGCCGTAACGAAAGCTGCGCGTTGGTTGGGTGAATGTGCGTGCATGTGGGAGTGTCTGTATGTGTGTGTGTGTGTGTCTGAGTATCTGTGTGCGTGTTTATTTTGCTGGAGTGGCATAGCTGCTGCGACGACACTTAGAACACTGCCGAACCGGAGCGGCAGCTGCACTTTTCCGTGTAACTGACAATGATAGCTCTGCCTGCTTGACTGACTCATTATCTAACCAGGGTTGCCAAGGCATCAAAAGGGGCATTTGAAAATGAAAAGGTGGGAAAATATTCATTGAAGAAGTACAGAAATTTACGTATAAAGCAACAAGAGAGAAGAGAAGAAGAGCAGCTCCATAAGCGTCAACTAAAGCGATCGATGCTGTGTGTTACAACTCCTTCAAATTATTTTATAAAACTTGTGTCTATGGAGCACAAGTGTTTTTCTATTGATCGTAAATTCCCCATTGCTCTCTCGCAGCCCACTTGACGGCGTCAGGAGATGAACGTCAATATCAAGCTCCAAGACTATCTTTTATTTAAATATCTATATAAAAGAGAGTGAGTTTATATTGCTTAAATATTTATATGAGAAAGTATAGATTGGGTATATAGCATAGCTGCAATGCAAATTAAAAAGTGATTCGTATCATAGTGTTGCAGAGCAAAGAGTTGGAGAATTTGAGTTTAACATTGATAAAAATCTAAATTTACATATAAAACTATTTTACTATTAAGTATTAAATATTTAGATATTTCAAAACTATTTATATTCACATATATGAATTCTATAAAAATATATTTAAATAGTTTTGCCACATGCAAATTTTATATTTTATCTTCAATATTGATTTGATTTAGTTTTAATTTTTTTTTAAATTTTTGCACTTTTCTACAAATTCATTTTTTAACATAACAAATTATAGAAAACTTAAAATTTTTTTAAAAATTTCGAACCAAATTTGCTTTAACATTTTCATAATGTATGGGCCTCTTCCAAAAGCACTTTATTCAGCCAAGTCCCTTAGATTAATACCAATATTCAGGGAAACCTTAAAGTCGAAATAGTTTCTCGCTTAAGCTTAAGTTCTGTGTAGCCCTGGCTAGCACGGCTGTTGGGTCTGGGTGAAAGTTTTGCTTTAGCGCTGTTTCATTCATTCTTTTTTTTTTTTTTTTTGGCCTGAACCAAGGCTCATTATCTTTTCATTCGTTTTTCGTTTACTTTTATTTTTGGTACTTTTCCTGCATTTGTCTGCGCGCTGCTCGGCGTTTTTCTTTTCTTTAACGCTTCGCTAATCAAATTCAACATTTTTCCGTTTTAATTTGACAATTCGAAAACAGGCCAGCCGAGGCAGGGGCGCTGTGTGAGAGCCAACAACAGCTGTGCGTTGTCAATTGGAAAATGATAAAGTGACGCGGCGAATAATGAAAATGGAAATTGGCATAGGAAGTGAAACTGATAACTGCGAAATGGCGAAATGGCGTTGACAGGCCCACGGGTGGTGCTGTTGCAGCAGTCTAAGCGAGTGTTAAGCTTTGTTCTTAGTTTTCAACCAGCCACCCCAACCCCAGCGATTGCCTTAGAAGGCGACCTGCAGTGCAGCTGCTGCGCTAAATGCATTACAATTAGCGCAAATTATCCGTGTCCAGTTGCAGCAATTGTCTTCAGTTGTTGGCCGTGGCAACTTGATTGAATTTAGTTGCCGAGCGCGTGACTAGCGACCAGCGACGTGCTGGGTATGCCATATTAACTGTACTACATGGCGTATTAGTCATCTGACATATTAAGTATACGCCATGCGAAATGCATTCGGGCGTCTTAATTGCCAAAAGTGTGCCCATTATTTGACTTTATTTTCAAAACTTATTTTAAAAATATTTTAAATTTTTATAGAAGTCTGTGTAGTAAATGATATTAAGTATACGCCATGTGTTTTGATTTGGCAATACTTAAGGGACTTTTTTTGGCGGCTACTTCAAGTCTTATTTCAAAATCTGACACAAATATGCTCTCTTTGATGTGATAACTAGACATAATTCGTATGAAAGTGTCTGAGCTATATTGCATATTAAGCATACGCCATATTACAACCCTTGTCAAACTGCGCTTTGGTTGGCTATTTGCCAGACAGTTTTTGGTCTTTTTTTCGGCAATTTAAAGTTGAATTTTGTAGCATATCTTGTTTTAATTATTACAAACCGTTTTTTGCAACTTTCATAATTTATGCATGGCTCTGACGGCCTTTCATATGTGTCCCACTTCGCCCCTTTCACATTGAGGCAGTCAAGCGAGCGCTTAGCTCACTTATCAGCTGCCTTGCAGGCGACTGTTAGACTTGCAGCGGGACTGTTAGATGTCAATATAATTTAGGCAAATGTATGCAACTTTCTATATAGATATAGAGACGGCAGCGCCCACTCTCCACCACTGTCGCCCTCTCGCATTCTCCTCCTGTGTGTGACACATTTAACTTTAGCAATTTTTAATCATAAAACTTTGCCGGGTTGTTCGGCTCGATCTCGTCGCGTCTGTGCCTCGGCATTTGCATATTTCTAATTCCAAAGTTGTAATTAGTATAATTTTACAGCTCTAATTGGATGATGATTTGCGCAACTTCATTCAGTCAGACGCCTCGCACTGGAAGGCCAGGCCGTAACCTTCATTTAGTTGCCAGCCAGCTACCAAAAGTGAAAGTCATTAACATAAGCTTGTTATTAAGGGGTCCCCACGTGTCTCCGCACATATGCACCAGCTGCAGCCTTATCATCAAGTCAGACGTCTAGCTAGCTGGGCTTAGGCCGTAAAATGCTCAAGGCTCAAGGCTGGCACACATATGGCTGATGCCTTGAGAGGCTTAAGGCAAAAGTGAGCCTAGCACATTCCGACACTTTGCCTCGCCGCACGAAATGTGCATATTTTCGGGCTCTAAGCATCATTCAAGATGAAAAAAAAAAAAAACAAAAACCAAAAAATGTTGCATTTAGCCTTCAGCTCGTTTCAGAGTCAAAACTGGACCGACTTCCAAGCAAAATAATTTTATTTTAATAAACTCAAGTTTCTGTGAAATTTATTTTTACTTAAAGTTTTAGATTGAACGAATTTTAATCAAAAATTTGCAGCTTATCTCGCAATTCACTTAAAAACATTTTAAGCACATTTCTAACGCTGTAACAACATTTATTTCTAATTTAAGTAAAATATGGGCTTGCAAAGGCATAAAGAAAAACATTTGCCATCTGTGTAAATTGTTGTTCAATAATTTCTGGTTCTTTTTGAACATTTCTCATTCGAGAATGTTTGCATTTTTAAAGCGTAAAGGCAAACAGAAATTGTCCTCAATCTCTTCCCAAATATCATGTGACTCAAACGAATGCAAAGCCTAAAAATAAATATAACACAAATCCAATGCACAAACATAGACACACAAGCACACAGAGCTACGCATTGAATACCGAATCGCATACACTACAATGGGCATTGATCTAAGTTTTGAAGTCATTTTGAATGTTTTTGATTCCACTGATTTGTTTATTTATGCATAAAGCATGCAATTTTTGCATTTTTCGCGCGCATCAGCAAAATGCTGTAACAGAGTCTGTGATAAGGGCGAGAAGAGATGGGCACAGTCGAAAATGTTTTTCCTTTCTGTTCGGCGGGCGAAAGTTTTGTTGTACAGAGAGAACTTTAGCTGGGCCAGAAAACTTAGATATTCCAAGCGAATGCACTCGCACGCAATGTGCAGTGCTGTGCAGTGCAGTGAAGTGCTCTGTGCGAGTGAGTTTCGCAAACAAATCAAAATCAAAAATCGTGTGTGAATGCGAC